ATAATTCACTGCTGGTAGTCCGAACAAGTTTGTATTTACACCACGGGGATTAAAACTATTATTTCAATACTGCTTTGGGTCCCGATTTTATTCCCTTGGTACTCAAATTATAGTAACTGTTTGAGTGATGTAGACATCAACACTGAATCAGATAATGATGTCCTTCTTTTCGGAATAGATATTAAGGAATCTCTCTACCCCTACATAATGCCAAATATTGTTGAATTTAGAAGCACTAATCTAAGAATCTAATATAAATCACTTTATAAACCTCTTATCTAAAGAAACTTGGTATGATATTTCCTCCTAAAAAACATTGACCTAAAATTTAACAGTTGTCCAACCAAAAGTAGTTAATATCGAACAGAAATAGTAATAGCTGGGTAACAAGATATAGAAAAATCGTCTAAAAATCTCAAAAATTTATATATTTTACAAAAAAAAACACCATACTTGAAAATTACTTCAAACTTCAAAGTCGACTTGTGGAAAATAATAAATGCTAACATTATTTTAATAAAATTAATGAACCGAAATAAAATGATATGGGAAGTGATTAACGAATTAAATGGAAAAACAAAATCTCATAAAAATATCCTACTACAATGAAAAGGTAGATGATCCAAAAAGGCTCACTGATATCTTTAATAACTTTTACTAATATACTCCTAGGAACTGTAAACAAAATAATATCACCTAATATTAATAATAATGACGTTCAGTCACAGAGTTAAGTTTACTGGCTATGTAACAGAAGATATTTTAAAATATTATTAAACATAAAATTAAAAATAAACCATCAAACGGCTCTGACGGGTTATCTGGTATTGTAATTACAAAAATTGCACACTTTGCATTAATTTCTCTTTTGTGGATGGAAAATTTATCTCTAAAATGATGTTTTCTCTAGTATCACCTATTTACAAACAAAATGATTCTGAGGATCTTTCAAACTAACTACCAATATCAGTAACATCTGTTATATCTAAAATAATAGAGTACTCTGTGCTTAATCAACTGCTTGATTACCTGACGAAACATCGGATTATAATGGATAATCAACACAGCACATAACATAACATAATTTTACGACAAAGTTCTGAATGCCATTGATGATGGCGAAAACCCAATTGAGATATTTTGTGACCCCAGTCGAGTTTTTAACTGTGTACAGTATAAAATTCTCATTAATAAACTTTACAGATATAGTATTAGAGGTAGTGTACATGATTATGTTATGTTGGGAATGGGGTGCTAATACAATGCGACCTGAAAGATCTATTATGCACCTTATGTCGCCAATGCACCAAAGAAATGTCTCAATGCCTATAACGACCCTTCCAATCCTATTTTCTCAAGGAAGTGTAGGATTTAAAGTGGCTTCAAGTTAGGTAAATCTCCCTCTTCTATTTGATATCCTCCTAGATATCCTTGGATTCTACACATTTAGTTAGGATGTGAATGGAGATTTCGTCCTCCTCCTTACAGAATCTGCACTCACTATCCTCTACTACTCTCAGTTTACTTAGGTGTCCTTTTAGTCGGCAATGCCCGGTAAGGATCCCTGTTACAATACGTAACCTGTTCTTGCTCAGGCAGATGCAGGCTTCCGATCTTTTTTGAGATTGTTCCAATTATCTGTTCTTCTACTGCCCAATTCTTTTTTAATCTCTCCTAATATTATGTTACTGCTGATACCGCAGAACGGCTCAGGTCCTACAAAGGGTGTTTGATCTCCTTTCCTTGCAAGACTATCTGCAATCTCATTACCCTGTACCCTGTTATGTCCTGGAACCCAAGTCTATTTTTCTCGCCTAGCTCATTCAATTGTTCTAGGCATATCCAGACCATTTTTGAGCTGATTACGTAAGAGCTCAGCGCTTTGATGGCTGCTTGACTATCGGAAATGATGATAATCTCTTGTCTATGATAGTTTTTTTCGATATTGAACTGGGTACACTTCTTGATGGCGTGAATTTCCGCCTGGAAGATGCTTGAGTATTTTCCCAAGTTTTCGGAGTGCTTGGTTCTCGGCCCATACACTCCTATTCCAGTTCCTTTTATGGTTTTGGAACCGTCCGTATACCACTGAATAACACGTCTTCCGGTTGCAAGAGCGATGGATTCTTGGCTCCATTCTTTCTTGCATCCCAGCTCTGTGGTTTTAAAGTTTTTCACAAAACTGTACTTCTTTAGTACATGATTATTTTGGGTCTTATTTGACAAAAAGACAACAAAAAGTTATAATAAGAAATTGTGAACGAAACTACTACGCATCTCATCTTCCTAATAACATGGGGGTACCTCAGGTATTCATTTTGGGACCAGTTCTGTTTATCCTTTATGTAAACAACTAACCACTAATTATTTCGAATGCCTTTGTTACATTATATGCAAGAGACACAAATTTACTATTTTCTACTAAAAACAATGTTTTCCAAGATAAAATCTGTACATCGTCAAATAGTTTCAATGTGTGGTCTTCTGATGCATGTCTGTTGTTTAATACCTCTAGACTAAATATGTGAAATGTCATATTTATCGAAATACTAATGTACCAAATCTTAATGTCAGCTAAATACCATCCAAATTGAAAATAACGATAATATTAAATTTGATGCAAATTTAACATTCCAAACACATTGTTTACGATGATCTAAAATTTTAAACAGCAAGTGTTATCAAATAAAAAATCTTTAAAACACCTTACATCTACAACATATTAAACAATTTTATTTTGCTGAAATTCATTCAAGAATAACATGGTTTTACAGTATGTAGTGCTTCTTAGGTTCAGAGGAAGTATTTCTATCCCAAAAATGCATTAGTAGGTGTATCTCTCGAGTTCCAACAAGCCACTCTTGTTGAATGTTATATAAAAACCAAAATATTTTAACTGCATATGGAGTATTTATTCTAGATTTTTTAAAATATATAGGTTCATAAAAATAAACATACTTATTTGCGAAACAATGATATTCATTCATATAATACAAGACAAAACTTCAAGTTTCATATTTCTTTCAGAAATCTTGAAATAGTCACTAAATCACCAACAATATTAGTTTTAAAACTGTATAACACATTACCATATGATCATATTAACACAAAAATTTAATAATTCTTTAAAAGATCTCCTAGTGGAAATATGCCCATATTCTCTTGGAAGTTCTGTAAGAGGACTACCAAGAACTAATATGAATTCTGTTTTCCTTCTAGTTTTAAAAGTTTTAGAAGATTGTATTTGTTGTCATATTTTCCTTGCTTAGTAGTTTTCTCTTTCTTGTAATTATTCTAAATATCTTTTCATTAATTGTTATTGTCCTTTTTTTTTTATTATCATTCCATATCAGAATCTCTTAAAGTTTCCTAATTCTTTTTTGTGCACGCATAGTCTGTATATTACACATCTTATCCAGGATATCTCCATAAATCTGTGCCAAGACTTTTCAGACGGTTCCTGGTAGAAAGTTCTAGTATATATTTTGTAAGCAATAGACCAAGTAGATACATATGGACATTTGACAAATCAGTACCTGTCTAATTTCTAAATTGATTAAGCAATTTTAATCATTGTTAACTTTGAAGATACTGCTTCTTGTGCAGTTTGATTTGTCAGTCTAAAATTTACAGGACAACAATTTTCATTGTGCATGTATTTTATATTGTCGATTATAATAAAAATTACATCTTCAAAAACAATTTTTAACCGATTTCAAAAAGGAGGAGTTTCTCAATTCGTTGGAATATTTTTTATGTATGTTCAGTGATAATCCTCTACAACATTGTACGATTTCTATAACTCTTTGTTTGTTATAAAGGACCTCTGAAGTGGTAGTTTCGTATACATTTATTAAAGATCTAATAATTGGGTCCAAGAGAAAATCTTCAAATCTTCATTTTTTTATGTATGTTCAGCAATAATCCTTTATCACCTTGTTCGAGTTCTACGATTCTTTTTTTAGGGATGGTTCCATATAAATTTGGTTTAAATTTGTAATGGAATCTGCACGATTTTGACGTCGGTTTTTTTATAATTACTTTGTAACTTGTTAATTTTTAAAATGTGCACTATCATGAACCAAATGAGGCTCATAAACCAAACACCTTTTGTGCAGTGGAAAAATATTTCAGGGCTGTTGCCAAACTATTATCTCTGACATTTCGAAATTCAAATACTTTGGGCATGTAAATGAATTATAACCAGTATTAACATTATAATAAACATTTAAATTACATGCTCTAGTGACCACAATAACAACAAATATACAAACACAATTTTAGCAAGCATGTGTCTGTGGAACAATTATTTTTATTTGCATATTAAACACAAGGGCAATAAACTAAATTATTGAGTCACTCGAAATAAATGGATAAAATACTTTAGATAATGAAATAATCAACAAGGAATAACTAATAACTTACCTCTGTTTAATTCTCTATAACTGATTCCTAGTCAAAATTAATTTTAAAAAAAGCAAATACAAGCCAAAGCAACAAGAACTAGCAGCAGAATTACTAAAATAGCATTAATTTGTAAAGAATTCAAAAAATTCCTTTACTGCATATAAACAGCATCAAAAATGTATGCAAGCAAAGTTCTTTGTACAAATAGAATATACTTTTCACTTAATATATTCAAATTATACTTCAATGATATAGCCCGTTCTTTAACATTTTCATAACGTCAACAACATTAGGTATTTTTTTGTGACATATATGCCGTATTCCCTCGAGTTTCGAACGTTACAAAGTTGACGCTTTGATCTTCGTCGTTGCTTTTTCCCACTTTATCAAAGGAAAATAATATTTATCTACGCATGCAGAAAAATCGAAGTCTGTTATTCGATGAATATGTGACAACAAAGAAAGAGCTAACAAAGGAACAACAGTTTTTTTGCAAATATATACTGATGCTAGTTCGAAAAAATTTCGAATATGGGTAGTTATTAATCGATTTCTTTTTACGAATGAGCTTTGTTTTTACTAAGCTGGTATCTCTAGTCTACCAATTCCCAACCGATGCCAACGCTTGCGATTGCGAATACTTTCTTGTACGATTCGATAACTTCTTTCGTGTATGGATCGCACAGAGACTTTTCCGGAATGCGCTTGAAAAAAAGAGAATAATATATGCCAATATATAAACGACTCTGTCAGATAAGGAAGATTAGAGTCGAACTAAATCGTACGATGTGCTTAAGAACCGCGAGTGATTTCAAAAAGAGAACAGGTTGGCCGTTAAGGCATATTATGTACATAAATATTGGTAGTGCAAATCAGTCTAGTCTTTTCTTCTTGTGTAAATAAATTACAATAAATTACAATTAAAGTCTAACGAAAGACTAGCCAAGTATTTATTTTCTTCTTCTAAATCAGTACCTGATTTGGAACCAACACAGGATGGTGATCTTGAAAATTGTAATGAGGTAGTATCTCAAAAGACTCAATGCAATGAAAACGTATGAGATCAGAGTAAAAAGAGAAAAGAAACAAAAGTATGATTATTTACCAAGCTATTTTAAATGGGTTTCTATTTCATGAATATTTTTTGACTGCAATTGTATGATTTAAATCTCTTTTTAAAAGGCCCAGGTGTCACCATTTTAAATGCAGATCTAGATAGGTAATGCTTTTCAAGGAGATATCACTTCAGAAACTTCTTTAACTTTGCTCGAAAAATAAAACCTCATTGACTCTCTAAAATTCCCTAAAATGTTTTTAAAGATCATTCTTCAATTGATTTTTGGCTTTGTATAAAAAATGAATTTAATGTTTTGACAGAAATAGCTATTAAAACTTAATCTTCCTTTTATACAACATGTCCATGTGAGAAAATATTGTTGCACTGACTTTTGCTAACTCAATTTATTTCACTATTCAAATATGCAACTGATAACATGAACATAAAATGTCTATCATAAAACTCTCCTCTGACGATAGGTTCATCGACTTATATAGATCGCTTTAACTTTATAGGACGGTCCAGATGTTTCTTGACATAGATTGATATTTGTATTGCGCAAATATGGGGTAATTTTGCTGAGATCGCCCTATATTTGTGTGTTTTTTAGAATGGACTGTATGAATAGACTACTGGTTTGGGTATTCAAACTGCAACATCACATTTAAGAGTGTATTACAATATTATTCTGTATACAACAAAACGAACAAGTTTTTGACACGAAAACACAGGCTTAATAATGCTGGAATACGTCAAGTATGTGGCTGCTTGCTTTTCTAACTTCTTTCCTTAATAACACCCCGAGATAATTACTTTTCATTCAATTTTCCGAGAAATAAGAAACGCCGGCCGGTTGACGCCCACAAAGTGCGGGAAACTCACATACCTCAAGTAAACCCTTCTCGACAAGTCAAAATTGCTTTTGTTTTAAAACAATGCCTAAGATTGCACAGTTCATGAGTGGTGGTAGAAATAAGAGCGAACTACTAGGTTGATTGGAGTTACGTCATGAACAACCAATCAGACATTACTGTTATGTTGGTTTCATAATGCTAGATGCGGTTTAGCAGTTAATTATATATTAAGGGTGAGAGGAACAAATATATTTAAATTCTGTATCTAGCGGCGTAGGGAAAAGAGGAGTAAAATAATTTGATGTATTCTGGCGGAGAATATTGGTAGTTATTTTTCAACAGTTATCTTCTTCATTTATTCGTTCTTTTACCTATGTCTTTGTCTTTCCTTTGTACCTTTCTCAGGCTTTTAAGGGTGATTTTCTCTTCCCCCTTGCTTGAAAGTGGTTGCGTAAAGACTGACTTTTTCAACCGATTCCTATCATTCTACAAACCTCTTTGATGCACTACTTGCTAGAAAGTCGGCTAGGAGTGGGTGATCAGCTTCTCCGGAAAGCATATCTGCTGTAATTTTTTTTTTGTTGGACTTCGTCACGAGCTTCGGGAGATTGATCTGGGTGAATTTCTGGCTCCATTCCCCGATTCTCGATTTATAGAACGTGCCCTGCTTCTACAGGTTCGTTGAAGGTGTCCGGATTCTTCCGCAAGAAACATCTTCTGCTTGGCTATTTCGCTGTATATTTTGCAAGATGATTAGGGCTTGTGAGAGAGTAGGTTGGGGAATAGAATTAGTATTGGCCTCTGCACTTTCCTGGAATTTCATTATTTTTGCGCGAAATGATTCTGAAAATAAGATTTGCTGCTTCATATTCCTGGGCTGCAATCAGTTTCTCCCTTAGCGTCTTTTGGTGTTGTAACGGAAGAGCTTGCTGCATTTCCACATCTTGTAGTCCATCAATAAATACATCATGGTATGCCGATTTGTTCTTGGAAATAATTGGGCGCCTTTTGGATAGGCCAAATGAATTAATCTTTTTGTATCTGCCTCGAATTCCTATAGACTCTCATTATGTTTCTGACTACAAACCTTTAGCTGACTTTGGAATAGGGGAAAGTGGGGGGGGGGGTATGGCGCAAGGGACAATACCACGCAGAGACTTTAATAACCGCTTGGTTAATAAATTATTAAAAGTGAATTCTAGTGTCTTCTAGTGATTGATGAAGTAACTAAGCAGTACCGCGAATGCTTCGTTAAATTCACACGAGTAGCCTTTTAAATGTTTTTTTGTCTCTCGATAACTGTATGAGGTATAGATAATTCAAAATTCAAACTTCGTAGACTTCTACAATACCGATTTAAAGAAATTATAGTAAGTTTGGCATACAATCTGTATCTGTTATTGATAGAGTTAACTCAAGTTTCATTTGATAATTAATAACTATTAAAAACCGCCATGGCTATTTAAAAAGTTTAAAATAAGTAATATGCAAAAAATGTATAATAATTTTCTAGAATTAAAAACGACTGCCAGGTTAACAGATTCAAAATATTTATTGTTCCCATTCTTCGGCTATAAATCTATTAATTACTTTTTATTACACCGCTTTTTTATTTCTTTTAACTATAATACATTTTAAAAGTTACTAACTTCAGATTATAGATAACAGTTTAGTTAAAAATTACTCCACAGTAACCGAAATTACAATTTTTACATCTAATAAAAGTTATCTGCAAACTCCAGGAATAAACTATATCTTTTTATGGCCCATCCTGACCTTATCTGGACTTTTCCAATTTGTACCTTAGATATAAAATCTAATATTAAAAAGTCCATAACGTTATACCGTCTTATGTACTCCATGGAGAAAAAACTAAAGTATCTACATGGGATCGTTATGAATATTATTCTCGGGTTGAAGGATATTCTGTAACGGAGAATGAGATTGGGCAATAAACCATTCGAAAAAAGAAACATTATAACATGAAATCTTTCTCTCATGTATATGTAGTTAAATATAATATTCAGCGTTATACGAATTTTATTTTATTGCTTACAACTCTAGAGGGTTATTAGAATTACAGCTTTATAACTACGTTCATGTGTGCTTATATATTTCTTACGCCACTTAACTAACAATAAATTTGTATGAATAATTTTTAGCCCAACCTTGAAAGATGTATTGGACAATATTTGTAAGTCAGCCTAATTAATTTTAGTTTGCATTCCAACCATACTAACTCACACTACATTTAACTGTTGAATATAATTAAAAAGAGTAAGAAAATTAGCTTTTATTCGCTAAAATATAAATTAAATGAAAAATAAAGACAATTTCAAGAAATTGAAACCTTAACATTTTGGATCTACCTTGCTGAAGAAATTAAATCAATTATATTTAGTAGATTTCATCCTCCGTTTAAAGACCTCTAAAGACGTCTAAATTGTAACTAGTATAAAATTCTGAATGGATTGTTGGTGACCATCATATTGTTTGCAGCACATCTCTAAAAAAATTATTTGAAATTGCTCCAAACCATTCTTCTGGATTTCAAAGTCCAAACATTTTTCTATTCAGCAGATTTTTTGAATTTGTCAGATTGGCAAAGCTTTAAAATCAACTTAGAAAAACTAATTGATTTCTCGATTCTATTAAAGACGTTGAACTTTTTGCCAAAAATATTCAACAATATACAACAATCTTAAGTTTAAATGCAGAGTGCCAAGGTAATAATTATCCAAAAGAAATCAGAGATCATAACTTGGAAAAAAGGAGAATTAGAAGAAAATGACAAATGAGATGGAAGCTGGACCCTTAACAATATGCAAAAAGAAAACAGATTTGTGGAACATTTAGAGAGTACTTTCCAACCCAATAATGGTAACGATCTTCAACACTTCATGAAATTAGGAAAAGAAGACACAGTGGTTAAACCTACCGCTCTAAAAGAAGTCTATATGAAAATCCTAACAAATATAAATCCAAAAAAATCCCCTGGAGTTAATATATTTACCGAGAAAATTTTGAAATTGCTTTCACGGAATCTATTGTCAAAATGACCATTCACATTAATGCATCCTTTGGACTAAAGTGCATACCAAAGATGTATAAGATGGCAGGTCATAATGGTACCAAGCCCAGGTAAACTGCTCTATAAGATTACATCGCTTTATTGCCTGTTTATTATCTCGAAACTCTATTAACAATTTCTTTTAAAGAGATTGAAACCAGTTTGGCTTAAAAAAAACACTCTACCATCGAACAAGTTCTTATAATCACATATATCATCGATAAGTCCCTAGAAGAAACAAAAGTTTGCTTCACCGTCGTTTTGGATATGTTTCAGGATTTCCACAAAGTATATAGGCCTTATTCAAAAACTGAACATGTTCCTGGCACGTCAATAATAATAGAAGAGGAAGCATCCTATTCCGACCGTTCGCTCCTTTCATCATTGGTTTTTATGTATACTTCCCCATAATTTGCCAAATATTAAAAAATTTCAGCTGTCCTAGACCTTCCCGTCATGAATCCAAACTAATTATTAAGTACCTAACTTTTAATTGTTCTCCACAGATTCATTTTATGACTCAGCAACTTAAGTCCCGTATAGTTGATACATTATTGTACATCTCATTTCGTTTTGTATGTTGGAGCAAGAATACTGATTCTCCAATCACTCGACATTGTTCCACTTTCCAAGATTTCCAATCGATACATTTATCGAATAATTGAAAATTCGGAAACAAATCTCAAAAATCCCTGAATTGTACTCAGACATCCTTGTATTCTAGACAAGTGCCACTTCCATTAGACCATCCACGGCAGTAACTGTCGATATTCCTAGATAGAAGTTTGATGTGCTAGTTCGGGCTAGACATCGTTCAGGCTCGTTCTCAAATCTTTAAATACATCATAATATTTATCTTCTATAATTTTCAAGGCCTCTGAGAGAATTCTTTGGGTACCTACAGATTTATATTATTTAATCTTCACCAAAGCTTCTCTCCTACCTATTTGTTCCTTGGTGATAAGATATTTTTACCACAAGTCCATTTTTGTGCTTTCCACTAACTTTTTCAAAATATTCATTCAACAACCCTCTACAATAACTGTTCTTTTTAGTTCCTTTTTCTCCTTGTAGTCCTCCTGTATCCAAGTCACGCTCCGCTCTTGCCTGAAAAACGACAGTAAAGGTACAATAAAAAATATCGTAATCACTATGCGCAGTTCAATAACTCTTGTATGTATTCATAGAATTATTAAACTAATAAGTGAAATTTAATAGAATAATAACATCCAGAAAGGCGTGGGTTTCTGTACTTCAATTTCGCCGGAGCTCAATTTGGATGATCAAACTCTGTTAGTTCGTATTTGCATGGAAGGTTGCAGAGTCGCTTCTCAATTAATTTATGAAGGGATAAATCCATGGGTTATATTAATGTTGTTAAACAAGGGGCATTTGTAATGCAACAGCGACTTTAGATATAACGAAGTCGTTTAATAATTGTTATGCGAATGGAATTAGAACGTAGACTTATCATTTTAGTATGATCGTTGTTTCTTAATTATCCTAAGAAAATTATTTATCGAAAACGCAGTAAATAAAATAAAAGACAATTTGGATAGTTCAATTTACCTAATAAAATATGTCGCAGAATCTGTAGATCCATTGCTTACTACCAGAGCTGGGCAGAGTACTGCGTTTAAGTACTTCACAATGAGTAGCTTTACAAAGTATCAGAATAATAAATAGCCAAATCAAATAAGAACTTTTGCAAATTTTAGGGAGTACTCGTGAAAAATCAAGTAGATGTACTTTACCAATTTTAAATAGTTCTAGTTAGTGACTCAAGTTTAGAAAAAAGAAATTATAAGTCAGTAAATAACAAACAAAAAACGAGAATATTACTTCTTATATTCTATAAATTAGTTAGCATTTACCATTAACGTGTATTAACCGACTTCAAAAAAGGAGGAGGTTCTCAATTCGTCGGTATATTTTTTTTACTTATGTTCAGCGATTATTCTTTAACACGGTGTCCGATTTCAATGATCCTTTTTTTTAAAAAGGGGGTACTTCAAGGGTGGTCTCATATAAATTTGTTCAAAATCTAATAATTTGGTCCATGAGAAAAACCTCAGTCTTCATTTTTTATGTATGTTTAACGATAATTCTTTACCACCTTATCCTATTTCTTTGATTCTTTTTTTGTTAATAAGGAGATACCGGAGGGGTGATCCCATATAAATTTGGACAAAATCTAATAATTGGATCCATGAGAAAATTCTCAAAGTCTTCATTTTTAATGTATGTTTAGCGATAATTCTTTACCACCTTGTCCGATTTCTATGATTCTTTTTTTGTTAGTAAGGGGGTACCTTAGGGGTGGTTCTATATAAATTTGGTTAAGATGTAATGATGGCATCTGCACGATTTTAAAGTCGGTTTTTTTAAATTACTTCTAATACTTGTTTTAATGTTAATGTAAGTAATAGTGATAGTGATAGTATATGAAGTGACAGAGAATACTCAAAAGAACAGTCATATATTTTAAAACATATTTTGTTTCAGTCATTCCGTTATTTTACATATTCTTATCTTTTTCGTCGATAAGTTATTTGGAAGTCCCTTACGGTTGTGATGCCGATAATAGTGGGATTTCAAAAATTAATGGAATTGTCAAATATATTTTGGGAAGATTGACGGAGAGATGGTTTTAGAATTGTCAGTTGGGAAATTAAAAATAAAAAGAATAGAAAAGAATATAAAAGAATAAAAAAGAAAAGAATACATAAGAATAAAAAACAATAAAAAACAATAAAAAACAATAAAAAAACAATAAAAAACAATAAAAAACAATAAAAAACAATAAAAAACAATAAAAAACAATAAAAAAACAATAAAAAAACAATAAAAAACAATAAAAAACAATAAAAAACAATAAAAAACAATAAAAAACAATAAAAAACAATAAAAAACAATAAAAAACAATAAAAAAGCAATAAAAAACAATAAAAAACAATAAAAAACAATAAAAAACAATAAAAAAACAATAAAAAACAATAAAAAACAATAAAAAACAATAAAAAACAATAAAAAACAATAAAAAACAATAAAAAACAATAAAAAACAATAAAAAACAATAAAAAACAATAAAAAACAATAAAAAACAATAAAAAACAATAAAAAACAATAAAAAAACAATAAAAAAACAATAAAAAACAATAAAAAACAATAAAAAAACAATAAAAAACAATAAAAAAAACAATAAAAAACAATAAAAAACAATAAAAAACAATAAAAAACAATAAAAAACAATAAAAAAAACAATAAAAAACAATAAAAAACAAAAAACAATAAAAAACAATAAAAAACAATAAAAAACAATAAAAAACAATAAAAAACAATAAAAAACAATAAAAAACAATAAAAAACAATAAAAAACAATAAAAAACAATAAAAAACAATAAAAAACAATAAAAAACAATAAAAAACAATAAAAAACAATAAAAAACAATAAAAAACAATAAAAAACAATAAAAAACAATAAAAAACAATAAAAAAAACAATAAAAAAACAATAAAAAAACAATAAAAAACAATAAAAAACAATAAAAAACAATAAAAAACAATAAAAAACAATAAAAAACAATAAAAAACAATAAAAAACAAAAAAAAAAAATTAAAAAAAAACAATAAAAAACAATAAAAAAAACAATAAAAAACAATAAAAAAACAATAAAAAACAATAAGAAACAATAAAAAACAATAAAAAACAATAAAAAAAAACAATAAAAAAAACAATAAAAAAACAATAAAAAAACAATAAAAAAACAATAAAAAAAACAATAAAAAACAATAAAAAACAATAAAAAACAATAAAAAACAATAAAAAAAACAATAAAAAACAATAAAAAACAATAAAAAACAATAAAAAACAATAAAAAACAATAAAAAACAATAAAAAACAATAAAAAACAATAAAAAAACAATAAAAAACAATAAAAAACAATAAAAAAACAATAAAAAACAATAAAAAACAATAAAAAACAATAAAAAACAATAAAAAACAATAAAAAAAACAATAAAAAACAATAAAAAACAATAAAAAAAAACAATAAAAAAAAACAATAAAAAACAAAAAACAAAAAACAATAAAAAACAATAAAAAACAAAAAAAAAACAAAAAAAAAACAATAAAAAACAATAAAAAGCAATAAAAAACAATAAAAACAATAAAAAACAATAAAAAAAAACAATAAAAAACAATAAAAAAAACAATAAAAAACAATAAAAAATAAAAAAAAACAATAAAAACCAATAAAAAACAATAAAAAACAATAAAAAAACAATAAAAAAAATAATAAAAAACAATAAAAAACAATAAAAAACAATAAAAAACAATAAAAAACAATAAAAAACAATAAAAAACAATAAAAAACAATAAAAAACCATAAAAAACAATAAAAAACAATAAAAAAACAATGAAAAACAATAAAAAGCAATAAAAAACAATAAAAAAAAAATATAAAAAAAAATAAAAAAGAATAAAAAGAAAGATAAAAAAGCTTTACTTAAATTAAAGATAAGTGTGAAAGGAATAGGAAGAATAATAGCAAGAGGATATCAAGCAAGAGAGCAGAAAGCTAATGAACAGGGAACAAGAAGAAAGAAGCGAAGCGAAGAAGATTTAAATTTTTTTCAAATTCAATATTTATGTAAAAGTATTATTTTTAGTTATTTTTTTGAACTAAAAAGTACTGAATACTCTAAAATATAAAGTACTCGAAATTTTTAAGTATGAGTCCCTCTAGGATAAAAGTACTTACGAGTACCAATTACTGAGTACTGTGAGTACTCAAGTACAATTTACTCGAGTACTGCCTAGCTCTGCTTACTACTATAAAAAATGTATTCAGATAAATTAAAATTTGCCAAAGTAAAATACCCTTTATTATAAACCAAGCCATTAAGTCCTCTTTTGGCGAATTCGGTGATAGTTTGTTTGACATATTTGTTTGACATACTCCATTCCTTGGTCCTGGTGAAGATCAAAGTTGCGACAGTACAGGGTACATCTACCTCTCGTCATTGAACCGCGTTGTGTTATTGTTGTTGAGTAATTTTGATATTTCTTTTCCTAGTACAATCTTAAAGCCTAATTTCATGTGTCCAGATGGATTTTAGGATTTGCTTGTAGAGAATCAATTTGTTATGTGCAGATACCTTGGAATATTTTTGGTACATAGTAGGCAATGTACGTGACCTAGTACACTACATTTTGGTACTCCTAACTTGAATTCCTTTAATTCAGAATAAACTTATTCTTGTTTAAATCTGACATATCTTCATGTTAAATATGATTTTATTAGGTATGAATATTGTGTTATAAATAGCGTTTCCAGCTTATGGAACAATTTTTCATCCCATCATACTTTACCAAAAGCTTGCGCTACGTCCAGGAAGTTTTAAAATACATTTTCTTTTCTTCTACCGTTTTTTCAATAGCGTCTGCTTTTAAGTATTTGGTCTATTGAAGAATGGCTTTCTCTAAATCCTAATTGATCAGAAAAAATTGGGTCCTTTTTCTCCATTCTTAGTTTTTATCTTATAAGAAGTTATTTATCATAAACTTTCGATATTTATTTGTAGTATATTGACCTGTATGATAAAACTTCGTTAGGTGATTTATCTGGGTTTGGAATCATCGTGACTTTTGCTATTTTCCAGAGCTTCGTTATATCTTTTATTTTGTCAGATAATGACGCTTTCCTATTCGTAGACTCCTTGGATTGACTACAACTTTTCTTAAAACGCTCGATATTATGCCACCTATACGACCTCCTACGAACTAGATCAGTCATAATTAAATATCTTTATCTGCGTCTTTACGATCTTGACAGACACGTTGTCTAACAAAAATCAATCATCGATGGTAACCGTAGATTTTACTTGTTGTTCCATTAAAAACTGTTTCATATTATAGTATATCTATATACATCTTTATGGACGAATGAACTCCTCCATTTCACCTTATCAGATCCAGTATGTATCTCCATATCGACTGAGAGAATACCGTTACCGAATCCAAACAAACATGGCAACGACGTATGCGATATCGAGTCAACTACAAAAGTGCAGTTATCAATCACACGATTTAATGGTTTTCTAAACATACGGGGCCACGTCGTTTGCTGAATATTTATTTAATAGTTAATTACGAAATCATAATATTAGTAAATATTATTCGTCGTTGAAATTATAATTAAATAATTAATCATCATTAACATTTGACCCACGGTGGATTGCTAAAACATTAAGATAATTATATATATTAGAGTTGTAGAGGTTAACTTAATTCAATTGGTAAAGTTAAATTTAGTACAAGTTTATACGTAATATACTTACCACTTGAGTTGGGAACTATATTTTTTCTACGTTGTCGGGAGCTCATTAAATAAAAAAGAATCATTATGATTTTCCGAGATTGTTTTACTACTTCTATAGTATCTTATATGTTCTTATGTGTTCTTACTTCAACTGTACAAATTACAAACGAAAGACTGCCTAGAAGACCCTACAGAGTTAAGTAGTTAAAACAAAGTGATCTTAGTGTAGGTACCGGGCCACGAAGGATATCAGGGCAATAATGAAAAGGCCATGACAGGCCCTGAACCCTTACGTTGAGTTGCTATAAGAAATTATACAAGTCATTCATCAAAGAGTGGATTCAGGAAGAGTATCTGTATTAGTGCAAACGAATAATAGTATGTGTTATCCATGGATCATGTCTTTTGGTGGAACCTGTGGATTTAGTTATGATGCGTGAATGGAAATTGACTAGATTTAAAATGTTTATGTTTGACAATTTTGTTTATTTTGTATAGCAAATCCCACTCTAAACGTTCGACATTAACCTGTAAAAGATTTAAGTCAATTTCAAAATAGATTTTTACCTGTTTCAAGTAGAAATAAAGAAAACTTAACATTATATTTCTAAAAGATATATTTTTGCTATTTAAAGTTGACAATCAGTTTGAAGTCAGGGACATATATACATATACAAAGTTTTCCAGATATACTTAAAAAAGAATATAATTTTGTTTTATTTTATTGACATTTGTTAGTATTAAAAAGATACTAATTTACTGACCTTGTTAACTTCGTTATAGTTAGGGGCCGTTCAAATTTTACGTAAGCAGATTTATTACAATTATTTATCCTTCCATCTCCCTTGTCAGCAAAAGTAAGCAAAGCTCTTACCCCCTTCCCATGCTTACGTAAACATTTTTCAATTATAAATGTACTTTTTTTATATTATAATTATAATTTTAAAAATAATAAAATAGATTTTAGGATAGAGATTGGATTTTACTGATACAGTATTTTTTTATGGATCTTCTCGATGTGACGATTTAGTGACTGAACGGAAGCATGATAAAGACCACACGTTTTGTATGTTCGACTCAATTTTACCGTCGGACAAAAATAATCGTAGGGCATTTGCAGGAAATCTTTGAGTGAAGCACTTAAGCGTAGAGCTAAATTGACTGTAAGATCAAGAAATTGCTTTATCCAAAACCAAATCATCAACTATTTGTTTTACTTTTACAGATGGTGGAAGAAACCTGTTGTCTAATATTCTGAATAAGCCACTTCTTGGACGACAGCATTCTGTATTTCTACATTTTACAATTTAAAGCAAGTATTGGCTTTCACGCACATGTTCTGAATACCATTTAATGTCTGGAAAATCAGAAAGATCTTGTTCACCTGCCCCAACATATTTTGCAATAACATTATAGCCATCAATTTCCATTGAACTCCATACTTCAGCTAATACATTTCCTGCAAAGTCGAAATTAAATCTTTCTAAATGTTCATCAGTTGTAACGCCACGTTCATCCAAATGAGACCCAAAATGGTCATGAGACAATATTAAACCATCCAGTTCCCGACTAAGAGGAGCCATTCTGCGCCCTACTCTGTTATACGCATTTCTTCCAGGAGCATTGGTAGCTAAAAACAATGCATCGAGATCATGTCGCTTAAAGTGTTGTATAGCAAACCCTATGACTTTTTGATAACGCGGATTTTCATCTGGCCCTCCATCAACCGTCATGATTACCACTGGTTTTACTAGTCCATGGTCAGTTTTAGCTAATGGCCGAAACTCTTCAAGTTCGAGAAACGTCTCGAAATCCTAAGCATGAGTATTAGCAGTATATGAACTATGCTTTCTACTTTGAATAGAGATGTATGTTGATCCAGAATATCCAACGGGTTGCGGTTGTCCTAGCATACTGGAAGTGATTTTGATACCAGCATAAACAGATGGTATTAATTTATGACGCTCAGCGATTACCCAATCGTGAATAGGCAATTTGATTCTATATTCCATGTGCATTAGAACAGGAGCTTGCTTATTTGCCGCAGTTATGCCAATAGTGACTCAAGCTTTATCATCTTGAGATATAAAAAATACTTGGATATGGTCCAAGTATGGATGCTATGTTCTCTAAAAAATGGATTAATGTTTCAGCGAACTTGCTATCTGAGTGGCTCTTGTAGTGATCAGTTTGAGCTCGAATGAGCTTAACGGGGACTGTCGATACATGTCTTCGTCCTTCTGCAGAATTAGATTTTCTGGGAATTAAACGAAGATATGTCCCACTGCGACTAATGTCAAATCCCATTTTACGTAATTCTTGTGTGAGTTCATCAAGAATTGTTACGCTGCGAATAGATTCCGTTCGTCTTCTATCATCTGCTGCACTCCCAAATAAAGCTATATCCGCAATTGTTTTCAATAGTGATGGTTGATTGCTTTCAAGATTAGGACGTCCCACTGAATCCCTCAGAGATTGTCTTTTTTTATTTCTGGATTTTCATGACAAATATCTACTAACTTTTTTTTCATACCATCCCTGTGTTTCTTCTGGACGACTGCGTTGTTTTGAATCTTCCTGTTTAAAGACTGTTTTGCTGTTTTTATTTCCTCACGCAACTTAATGATCTGTTTATCAACTTCAGCACGGCTTGGCATAGTATCTCTGGCAGAATACGAAGCATTCAGATTTTTTTCGAGTAGAGCAATCTTATTTTTCATAGCTTCCTGAGAAGGTTTTGCTCTCTGTTTATCTGCATTATCATTATTTTCGCATTGCTGTTGTGATTCATTACCGGGTTTTATTTTATCTTCTTCCTGTTTTTTAATATTTGAAGCTGGCAGTATAATTTGTGTTTTTTCTGCAGGTTTACAGGTAGTCGTTGCCTGAAAATAAAAACTTTTTATAGGTTCTGCTAAAGATTCTCTTATTAAGCTTCATAAATACAAAGTATGCAATAAAAAACTGCATTTAAAGATTATCTAAAGCCCTATGGCTTTAAATAATCTTTAAAGCCACATACAGAAAACTAACACCCTGTATTTTGTGACCAATTGATGGAATAAATCTATATAATGAATATTAACTCTATACTTTGAGATAGGCCATAATATTTTCTAATCATAAAACGTCTAAATTATTGTTACAAAATGTAAAGAGAAACTTTTTGGCAATTTCTAATATTTCTAGTACTCATAGGTACCTAAAATGACTTCGTCACTCACCTTGGAAAAAAATTGTAGTAGATTGGATTTATTCTTAGTCGCCGCTTGCAATTCTTCTTCAATTCTCTTAGATACAATAATATCTATTTCCTTGTCGGACTTGGCTTGTAATTTATAATTTCGCCACACTTCGTTAACTAACTTTTGTACTTTCGTACTTGTATGAGATTTTTTAAAACTTTCAAACAATTTTTGGTATAATTTGGATTTGTCTATTTGAAACGACATCTTATTCAAACATTAAACTTTGGCTAATGAAATCAACGGTAACACAAATGTTAACTGGCTTTGCTATGCTTACAATACGTCTACTCGCTATAGTATCCAAACGAAACAATACACTGACAGAGGAAATTTAGACAAGTGAATAGCGCGCGGTAATTCCCCTACTCGGTTCTAAAGCGAATGCCTAAAACGTATGCATTATTTGCGGGAATCCCCGAAAATGCGTTTCGTTTTCAAGCATAAACAATGTGAGGGTTGTGAGGGTTGTCATTTGTGTAAAAAAGTAAATAACTACCGATGACGTAATCATCATCTGGACTCCGTACCCCCATGTCATCCAAAATAAACAAAACAAAGACCCCCCGCCCTCCCATAGTGCTTACGTAATACTTGAACGGCCCCTAAAAAGAATATAATTTTGTTTTATTTTATTGACATTTGTTAGTATTAAAAAGATACTAATTAACTGACCAAGTTAACATCGTTATAGTTATCCTAAAAATCTATTTATAAGTTCTTTGCAGTAATTTTGATGAATATGTATACTAATCCAATCAAATACTAACCATTACTGATTAGACTAATTAAAAAATTATGATTGACATTTACTATTTCAAATTAAATCAAATTAAATAGTATTGATTGCAGTCATCCTTGCAAATATACGCATTATTTAAATAACTGTGATTTTATAGTGAACATACTTATTTAGTTTTTCATTATTTGGCAAAATATATCATTGTGATGTCGAAATAGTATATTATGCAACGATCATGTAATGATGGTTATTAATACACGAGCATTAACCGGGATACGAAACGAGCCAAAGGCGAGTTTCGTATGGTTTATGCGAGTGTTTTAATAACCATTACATGAGAGTTGCATACGCTATTTTTTCTACACCCGATAAATAATCAAGATCTATAAATATTATATTTATATTGGTATTGAACACAATAACAGTAATTACTCGTATTTCTATAAAAAATTCTACAAAATTGTAATTAATGGTATTACTTCAGGTATTGGTATTTCCCTAGATTTTTGCGGTAAAATATTTTGTACTGTATTTTCTGCTTTCTCCGATATGTGTGGAGGAGTCTTCTATATCGCTAATATCAGACATTTTAATATTATAATTATCGAAGTTTAGCTACCTACGAAAATTTAATACGTTTTGACAACTAAAATAATTACATAGGAACCTAGGACAAACGTCAAACAGCATGCTTGATTGAAAAATTGTAGGTTTCTATTGATTAAAAATCTGTATCGTAATGAAAAATCTGTATCATAATGGGTATCATTATGAAATGGATTATGGGCATATAAGTGCATTATTATAATACGGGTGTAGAAAAAATTTAAATCTGTTACCAATATTATCTGGACATTTTTTTATAATACATTATTATCATACATAATAATATTATTGTAAATTCTATATCTTAACTGATTGTTTTCAGTTAGCCGTAGTTATGTTCTCGCAATAATACAGATTGTCTTGCCGTCTGTCAACAAAGGTCATCATTCGTCTTTGTCGTTTAAATATACATCACCATTTGTGTAAACAGAGTTCATCTCGACAAAAGGCAAGTATTTTCGTCAGGAGACATTTCATTTACATTTTGCAGAAATCTCAGACGAGCCTCATACAATTCCTTATCTGGATAACTGATCCAAGTAAGCTAATTTTAATTTTATACAAAGCCGGTTGCCATTCATTTCCATCAGTCATGGAAACGACAAGACAGTAACGGCTTTAGGAACATCAAAGTCGTCGCCTTTTATTTTACAACAAATACGGTAATACAGTCTTTTTATTCTTATTTAAAATCAGTGATTTATATATTAAGAAATGAATGTCATCTATGTATTAATTGCTTAATTTTACCGTCCTTCAATTGATTAAGTTTGCGCCCTATATTGGTTTTTCGATTGTCTTATATTAATTTGTGTCGATTTAACAAGCTATTTTAAAAAAGAATAGCAATTAATCTGACTAGCTGGAGTTTGACACATGACGTAAAAGTATAATATAACGGTGCGGACACCATATCAATGGTTTGAATGCGATATATGTGTCAAATGTGTAAAAAGAGCACTTGCATACAGATGAGTAGATAATATCACATCCAGATGGATGGCTTAGCTGTTATCTACGAGAACTGCAGAGACACAGATAGAGCAGGACACCATCTCCATCTGCACGACCAGAGGATGTCCACAAGGAGGAGTTCTGTCCCCACTAATGTAGAGCCTAACCGTAGACGAACTTTTATGCAGATTGACTGACCTCCGCATACCCTCTCAAGGTTATACCGTCGACATAGTCATATTTGCTAGAGGCAAGTTATATTCTGTATGACTAGAACATACCCAAATATGGTGCCGTGTAAATCCTATAAAAACAACACTAGTAACCTTTTCAAGGAAAAGAAAACTTAATCTCAAAACCGTTAAATTAGATGGGATAGATATAGAATGAAAAAATGAAGTGAAATATCTAGGCCCAACCCTGTACAACAAACTTCTCTGGAACACACATGAGAAGGAAGTAGTAAATAAGGCCACAAAAGCCTTAAAGGTATGAAGAAACATTGCAGGCAAACGATGGGGATGTAACCCAAACATACTGTAATGGATGTATAGTGCAATAAGTAAGACTAATAATCACTTACGGGGCTATAGCCTGGAGTAACAGAACTAGTTTAGCTACTACGAGAGCTAATATCTCAAAAGTACAAATACTAGCCTGTGTTTGCATTACTGGTGCAATGAGAACCTGTCCTACGGTCGCAACGGAGGTGATCTTATACCTCACCCCTCTACATTTAATGATAGAGAATGTGGCAAAAAAGACACGATATAGAATGATCAGGAACGGAGTAATCAGACGAAAGTCTACTTGCTTCAGGACTAAAGACACCTGGGATATGCCCCAGGATGAAATGCTAAAGAAGTACAGTTTTGTAAAAAACTTCAAAACCACAGAGCTGGGCTGCAAGAAAGAATGGAGCCCAGAATCCGTCACGCTTGCAACCGAAAGACGTGCTATTCAGTGGTATACGGACTGTTCCAAAACTATAGAAGGAACTGGGATAGGAGTGTATGGGCCGAGAACCAAGCACTCCGAAAGCTTGGGAAAATACCCAAGCATCTTCCAGGCGGAAATTCACGCTATCGAAAAATGTATCCAGTTCAACATCGAGATAAACTATCATAAACAAGAAATTATCATCATGAAAAGATCGGAAGCCTGCATCTGCCTGAGCAAGAACAGTCTACTTATTTTAACAGGGATCCTTACCGGGCATGGCCGACTAAAAGGACACCTACGTAAACTGAGAGTAGTAGAGAATAGTGAGTGCAGATTATATGAGGAGGAGGACGAAACCTCCATTCACATCCTAACTGAATGTGTAGCACTTTAGAATTCAAGGGCACTATATCTAGGAGGATATCAAATAGAAGAGGGAGATTTACCTAACTTGAAACTACTTCAAATCCTACACTTCCTTGAGAAAATAGGATTGGAAGGGTTGTTATAGGCATTAAGACATTTCCGTGGTGCATTGGCGACAGAAGGGGGTACAATAGATCTTTTAGGTCGCAGTGTATTAACACCCCATTCCCAATATAACATAACATGTGTCAAATTTTATAGTCTGACTGATTACTGCGTTTATTATTGCATTTCCGACATTTTTCCTTTCATTTTTAGCATATGAGAAAGTCTAGCACAGGTAGCCTCGAAATTTTTCATCTCCATCTAAACTTGCCTAGGTGCTTCAGACTCCGCATCTAAACCTGCCTAGATCTTCAGACTCCGCATCTAAAGTTTTAGGGGTAAACCATCTAATTATCTAGCGCTCGAGTACCGTCATTCGTAAACCTTCTCTCTTACTGGATGAGAAAAAGTCCTTACAAATATAGCCATAAATCTAATTGGACACCTTGGCCAAAGAGTTAGCGTTTCAAAAAAAAAAAACTAGAAACATTTTCCACGAAGCATAAATGATAGCAATAGAATTTAAAACGTAAGAGCTTATCCTCTTGCTAGGTCGTAGTGACAGGCGATATGATCATCCCACTCACACTTTGGCCATCCACCAGGTCAATTAATTTTCTTTAATATTGCTACAAGCGACGTCTAGCCTCACCAGATCCTACATCAGGATTTTCGGTCGTGCTAATCAGCAATTGGCATGCTGTTTTAAAGAAGTTGATATCGTAGCCAAGAATTATCTAAATATTGATTAGTATCATTTTAGCAATTTTCATCTGTTACTGCTCTGCTTTTTTATAGATTAAGATATTCTTATTGCATTATTGTATTGATTTCAGGTATTATTCGTAAAAACGATCGATCTCTGATTGAATTGTTGTGAAATTATGTAAATAATAAAAAATCATTCAAAATTGATATATGCTTTAAAATGTTTGAGTAATACTTAAAGCATGCTGCTCTAAGGTCCCACTTCTTTTTATGTAATAATTATTGGTTTAATATCTGTTATTGAGTAGTCCTGCCTACACCTTGAAATTTTGAAACCTAAGTCCGCCTCTGAAAATCGAGAAACCCATTTCCTTCTGAACCCTTTGCATCTTCGCACTAGATTAGAGCCTCACGCCACTTTACCGTTTTGCAATTCACAATTTTCTAAGCGTATTTGAATGAATTTATCTGAATTTAACTTTAAATACTCCAGACTTGTGTTTTCTATAATAAATTATTATTGAACAAATACAATTTATTAGAAACTTAAGTTGTTAGTCCAGCTTAGTAACCCATTGAAGTACCTAAACTATCACATCTAGAACTACCATTTTGCTCTTAAATTTGAGGAAATATACAAATTTAATAAATCGGACGAAAAAAAAAATTTTAAAGATCAATACTGCAACAAATAAAAACTGCAGAAAATTAATGCAGAAACCAGGAAATATGAGATAAGTAAAAAGGAAGAGAAGCTGTATCTGTAACGTTTGGAGAGTGACTT